GTCAACAAGCTATAGAAATAATAGGAGAATTTATTTTCAAACTTATTTAAAAGATCTAATGAAGTTAAAAATATAGCAAAAAATGAAGAAGAAAAAATTGCATTATTAACAAAAATAATTCAAAACATATTAGAATTAGAAAATAATTGGTCATGGCTCTACGAAAAATATATAGCAGATAAAAAATTTGAATTTTAAAATGGTAAAAAGCCTACCTGAAGAAGTAATAAGAGATCAAATAGAAATATTACTGATGGAATTCAATTTTATTAAACAATTAATTGAAATCATAGGAAGAAATGATATCTTAAAAATATTAAGAGAAGATTTAAACAAAATTATAGGAGAAATAATGAAAAAAAACTTAAAGAAGGAATATATATATGTCCATATACCAACTTTAAAGAATTATTTAAAAAATCAGAAATTATTTTTATCAGAAAAATAGATGATTTACATGAACCATTTAGAAATGAATGAATCATATAGCATATATCTCTTTATTTACATATTAATATTAATATTTATAATAGAAAAGAGTCCCTTTTTAAGAATTAAAATTATGCTAACATTATAAAAATGGTTATAAGGCTACCTGGCCAATTTAGAGAATTACAGTAAAATTATGCTAACATTATAAAAATGGTTATAAGGTTACCTGGCCAATTTAGAGAATTACAGATGACCTTTTACCTATAGAAGCAAATATAATTAGAGAATTAATAGAAATGACACATAGAGAAGATATTCTACAAATACTTTAAGATAATTTAGTTAAAGAAATAAAAGAACTAATGAAAGAATTAAAATAACACATAGATAGAAATCCTTATAAAGAGTACACAGATATAATTAGGAAGATAAAAAATTATTACATAAAAGAAATACAATATTTAAACAAGTCTTTTAACGGGTATATCTCGTTAAACGGAAACCCACATCACTAGGAAGGGTATCAGAGCCTAAACATAAAAATAAACCTTAAATAAATATGAGGAATATACATAAGATAAAATGGTTAGATTTAGAATTAGGTAATAAAAATAAAAAATTTATTTGAATAAATCAACATAAATTTATTTGTAATTTCTCTAAAGAATTTAAACATAAACTTCATAATGAGAATAAAATAATGAATAGTATTATAGATCTTCAAATATCTTTAGCAGAATCTCTAAAATTTCATAATGAGAAAGCTTATAGGATTCTAGAAAAAGCTACTGAAGTGTTATTTGAAATTAAAAGAGAAATTAAAAGATTAATATAAAAGATTAATATCAAATCAGAATTTAGAATATATTAAAAATCAAAATAATGATATACTAACAAAAATTATAAAAGACAAAAGTGAAGTAGATATTGTTATTAATAAAATGTTAATTGAAACAAAAGAAGCAAAAAGTTTGTTAAAAAAACAAAAAATAATATTAAACAGATAGAAATTTTACTTTTAGAAATAAAAAGAATTATTTTAACATGATTAAGTTTGAAGAATTTGAGATATATAAAAATTTTTTAGAAGAAACTAAAAAATATCATGAAGAACCTATAGGATTAACTAATTTTATAGGAGTACAAGGAAGTGATAAAACTTATCCTAAAATTAAACTTTCGAACAATAATGCTAATAAAATTATATGAAAAAATAATTACAATAGAAAATAAATTGAAAAGTGTTGAAGAAAAAACGTTAGGAATAGTTACTCAAACTGATTTAAAAAATCTTTCGGAAAAAGTTATTCATGGAAAAGAAATTATATCTTATAAACCTATAAGTTATAAAATGTGGTAAGTAAACCAGGACCTCTAACCTTATTTAAGAAAAATTATAATTTTGATAAAAAAATTTCAGAAATAATAGATATAGAATCTCAATAGAATCTCAACTAGATAAATCTCAACTAGATAAATTTAATAATGGAAAAATAAATTTAATTAATGTAAAAAAGAAAATGTATCAAAATCATATATTATCTAAATCTACAGTAAATCAAACATTAGCCGAACAAAAGGTAAGTTGTGTATCTGATTTAGATCAAATAAGTTTGCCAATAATAATAAAAGAAAATTGGGAACAAATTAGGCAACAGAAAATGACTTAGATGCATGTAGGATTAATTATGATAGGAGTTAAAGGATTAATTATATTAGTGTAAGTTTAAATGAGAAAAAGAGAGTTGAATTTTATTTTCTCTACATTTTTCTTGTAAAATATTAAATGTAAAAACTATTCTTGGTCCTATTCCAATATTTCTAATATTATCTATAATTAGCATGACGGCGACGACGGATAGGTGCGGAGGAAGAAGGCGGCTTTGGCAGATGACGAGCGGTGGCAACGACGGATGATGGACAGAGGTTGCAGTGGATGGTTGGCGGCGGGCAACAGTTTTAGGCAGAGGTGGTGCATGACGGTCGCGACGGGCATCGAGTGGTGTGTGATGGCGGTTGGCAAGGGCGACGACGGGCGGCTGGCGGTCTATCGATAATATTTTACATTAATAAATGATGTAAATATCAAATTCGGTTAATCGGCTGAATTTTAACTTCAGCCAAATTGAACTAAGGTGTAAACTTCAAATTCATTCATACTTTATATTGTATTTGTAATTCTTTTACCAAATAAATAATTTTTTGAAATCCCTGCAAAAGAAATACAGTACACTATAAATATCCCAACCAAACAGCCCCTTAGTAAATGATGTTTCATCATAGTAGATTGATCTTTGACTTTTATTTGACTTGGCTTAAAGTCCATTGAAATTTATATATTCTTTTGGATAGACACGACTGACCATAAATTTGGTTGTAGAATTTGAATTTCTTTTAGCTCAGCTGCTGTAGCTTCTTAAGTTAGTGGAGGTTGCTATCAGTTTGACGTTTATTACATAATATACTTGATGATATCATTTTTGATGATTTTGAAATTTCAATGTTTCTTTTGCATTAGATTTGTGCTTTAACTGGTTTGGCGGAGGAATTGATCGTATTTGTTTCTATTGACTTGTTACGAGAAATGAGTTTATCTTCTGTCCTATGCTTTTTTTTGTTTTTTTTTGTTTTGGTGGACTTGATAAAAGATGCATGCCTGGCACTTGGTGTTATGATGGACTCATTAACACTATAATTTGTGACTTTGGATATTGTGCTTGGTCGATGGTGAACATTTGCCTGTCCAAAGCTTAGTGGTTTGCTGGATTCATCGATGATAGAATTAGTGTAATTTAGCCTTCGGCATTATATGAACATGGGGAAAATTTCTTCAATTTTGTGCTTTGTGTTTTGTTGACCTTGTTGAAGAAGGAAGTTTCTTCGGTTTTTTGTTTTGTCTTTCAGATTTGTTGACAGAAGTTGATGTTTCAAGTTGACAATGACATCAAACTTGGCTTGGTGCCTTATATCATTTTTTTTTAGTTTTTCTTTGGTCTGTTAACAATTAGAGAAGATTTTCTTGGTCCAAGTCACACGAACTTATCAAAACTTATCACGATATTTTTTAAAACTTGACAAACCTTGTTGTCAAAGTGACAGAAAAACTCTCTTACTACGACCATTCTTATGGTGTGCTAAGTATGAAAACTGCTCGCAATTTGACCATATTTGGGAATTTGAAGTTCAATTTTTTTTCTTTGTTCTGGTCCTAGAATTGACTCTACATATCTTAGTTAGATTAATCAAATCATTTTCATAGCTTGAATTGAGTTCAATAGAGTGGCTGGCCCAGAGTCGTCTCATAACTCGTTAGGAGATCTCAAATCACCTAGGATTAGATCTTGTCAACTTGCCCAATTGTTGGCCTCTATAAATTATTGAGTTCACCATAATAATTGCACTCGCCCAGGCTATTCATTAGAAAAACTCGGCTACTTTACTTGTTTGAAAGTACTTAACAAGGTCGACCCTTCTTGTATCATTTATCTTGGTTCACACTTATAAATAGGGTTTAAGGTTTTTGAACTTTGGCATGAGACCACTGGGCAGTTTTGTCTAAAATTTTGTTGTATTGAATCTATTCATAGATTTCTAATCAAATCGTTCTCTCTCATCTCTGTTTTGGGATAGATCTATTTATACAGTAAAGTTTTGATGTCACCACATGGACAGTTCTATATCTAACATCTTAATTTCAATAATTATGTGATGGCTAATTAACCTAATGAATTTGTAATTACTTTGAATAATTTGGTTATTTAATATAAATCAAATTTGATTAAATAGGCTTATTTTGATTAACTGATGCATTAATTATTAGATAACCTGTCGATTGTTCTATCAATTATCGACTAATTTGTTCACATAATTATTTTTAAATTGGCCTAGTTAATTAGGCTAATTTAATATCAGCCTTTAATATTAACTGTTTATTTATAATTAATTTTCTTATTTTTAATGGATGGTTTTTTTCATTATTATTCTCAAAATTAGTTAGTCTAATTAATTTTGATTATGCTGATTAATCTATTAATTAACTACTCTCCAAATATTGGTTAATTTATTATTCTAATTATGAATTAATAGCATTAGCTTAATTTTTCTCTAGCTAGCTTAATGATTCAAACCGATTTGCCGTCCAAATTAATATTTTTTTTATCAATTAGCATGATTTATCTTTAATTACTAATTTAATTAACTTAATATCTACTTTTTTAATAAACTTCAATTAAGGAGCTGGTTTGTGGTATTTCCATCCTAAGGAAAGTGATTAAGGGGATCATGGGTAATTCAAAATAATGACATGAGTTTTAGTTTTGTAATTAGCTAAAATTTCGATGATATCCATGTAATTCTTCATTAATGATTTCATAAAGTTGGGCGGCTTTGTATAGAAAATAACTCTCGTGTCGTGTAAAGCATAATCTGTTAGCAGAATGAAATTGTCAAACGAAGCTGACAGCAATTGAAACCCTGAAGCTCCTTTTATTTGTACTTCAAAAGTCATTTCAATTATTTTACTTCCTTTTACTCTCTATCAACTGGTGTTTTTTTTGCTGTTAACTTAGGTCTCTAAGCAATTCTTCCCCAACTTGGCAGTCGGCTTTGAGGATCCACGTGTAAATTTGCATATTGGTGATGGTAGGCTTTTTTTTTCTTCTCTCCCTTCTCCCTTTTCTATTTTATATAAGAGGATGCCTTTTTTTGTACCAACCAAGTTCTATATCATGCACTGAAATTTTCATTTCTCAATTTCGCCACATTCTTTTCAACTTGCAGGTGTTGCATTTCTAAAAAATGTTCCTGAAGGCACCTATGATGCAGTTATTGTTGATTCGTCTGACCCAATAGGTATATTTAGGTTCATCCTCTATGTAACTTTCTTGGAAACCTTTTCATTATTTTAAAACTTTAACAGGTCCAGCTCAGGAACTTTTTGAGAAACCGTTCTTTGAATCAGTTAGTCGGGCTCTCCGTCCAGGCGGTGTTGTTTGCACACAGGCTGAAAGCATATGGCTACATATGCACATCATTGAATCCATTGTCTCAAATTGCCGTCAAGTTTTTAAAGGCTCTGTAAACTATGCATGGACAACTGTACCTACGTATCCAAGGTAAAGTTATAAATAATGCTTAGAGTTGTGAATTTGAACTAGATTGAAACTTGCTAAAAGATTTCACTAACGCTTGGATGGGATCAATTATTAATGAAATAAAAAATCTATCAGTTGAGCTAGCTTGTGTATATGCATGCATGGATAAGTGCATACATAAATATTTTTATGTATTTATTTAAATTTATGTTTCTTCATATATGCATTTATATATAAATGTATTTGTTTTTATCCAATAAGTTTAAATCATTTTTTTGTCTTTTGATGGAATTCAAGTTGAAATAAATGAGCTGAGCTTGACTCAAATTGAGCAACTTGGCTGGCTCAGCTTGGGAACAAGTTAAATAGCTTTGATTTGATGCACTCGAGCTAGTGTCATATTGGCTTGAGTTTGTATCAATCATTCACAACCTACTATTAATATTATCTTCCATAGCAATACTTGTAGAAGATCATGATGATCTTTTGTTTGATGCAGTGGAGTTATTGGCTTCATGCTTTGCTCAACTGAGGGACCTCCAGTGGATTTCCAGCGCCCAGTTCATAAGATTGATGAAAATGATGAGTTAAACAAATGTAAAGGTCCCCTAAAATTCTATAACCCAGAGGTTTGCAGAGAAATCTTAACATTCCTTTGTGTGGTGATCTTATTTCTGTTGAACTAACTCTGCATTTTTTTTGTTTGCAGATCCATTCTGCTGCATTTTGCCTGCCATCTTTTGCCAAGAGGGTCATTGGTTCCAAAACTATTTAGTTTTTGGTAGAGCTTCCTTTTCTTCTTTTGTTCTTTTGACCCAATAATCTATGGAATCATTATTTGTATGACATACTGAATCCTTCCGATTTACTTTTCAATAGCGAGGATTTTAGCCATTTTTTGGGCAGAATAGCATGCACTTTCGGTTTTTAAATTCATGAGCCTAACATAAAGCTTCCAAAGCTAAGGTGGATTCTCTTCAAAATTTGCCACATGGGACTTCTAGAATTATTTTGATAGGATTGTATTAATATTATTTTCTTATTGATGAAGAGAATTTTGGTTTAGTCTTATAATGCTTGAAATTGGCCAAATATATTAAAATAAATTTTTTCTTGGAAAAATATACCCAAATGTTCATTTTAGGCCAAGTTATGACTTTTTTT